TGGAAGCACAAGCCCCTGAAAACCTAGAAATCCATGAATCGGGATTTGGGATTGTAAAATATGAAAATTAAACCACGTTCTTCCATGTTTTAATGGATCCTTTGGCTGACACAGCCCTACCATTGCATGCTGCCACAGATGGCAGACTTTCAGTGAGGCAACTGCACAGCAGCAAGAAGCCACGATATGGGTGTACCCTGAAGGACATTCATTCCACAAAGCTCTAGGCCTCAAAGCTATTTCCAGGAGAGTCTACAATAAATATTTCATTCAGGTTCCTAAGCAATTATAAAGCCCAATTTCCCCTAGTAATTCAGGCTATCACCTCCAATAAAGACAATGGGAGCAGGATTCAGGCCCAAAATAGCTCCAATGCTCCATCTTAAACATAGGAAAGGACTCAGACATGTCACAGTACCGCACGTTTAGCAGCCTTATATGTCTACAGAGGCACTCCAGCACTGCTCATACCAATTAAAAAGTGAATTACATAATAATGAAAGACTGAATTTAGTTTTGGTCTAAAGGGAGATGCCTAGAATAATCTTGGAGGGGGTGAGGGGGTGGAGAAGAGCCTGGAGACACAGCACAGATCAGACTCTGGGTATCAGTTACCTGTTTACAGGGATTATCTCAACTGATTAACTGCACAGTAACATGCCGTACTAGGCATCACCAGGCTGCCTACAGGAAGGCTAAGCCAGCCCATGCCAAGCAACTATATGCTAATCAGGCTGCAGGAACCAGCAGGCCAGCCCAGAAGCCAAAGAGAGCCTGCTTGATCTTGGACTGTCCTCATCTAATTGCCAACGAAAAAGGAGGTGGTTTATTTGAAGTACTTGAAGCGATGAGCTACCAAGGAAGGGCAAGAAGCAGCAGGTGGATGTATTTCTCCTCATTCCCCAGCCCAATCATTAAAAAAAAATCTCCATCATTGGAGAAGCCTAGATGAGAACAGGCAGTCCTGGTTTTCTTTTCACATCTATGAAAGACAGGTGAGCAGGAGGGACAGCCATCGACACGGAGACTGAGGGACACAGACAGGCACTCCATCCTCTTGTCTTCCTCACGTGCACCAGAGGCAGGGGAGATAACCAGGGCTGGAGGGCAGAGCTGGATGCGGTAACGTGGTGCTCCAGGAGTTAAAAGCACTCTTTGGTATCCAGGCAGCGTAAGGCAAATGGCTGTGACGTCAGGGACATGTGGAAATTTTTTCCAGAGCACGGTCATAGGAGGTGCTGTTGTAACAAACCAAACACTAATGCTGTTGTCTGCAGCGTAACGCCTTTGAGTTTTGTAACATCAAAAGGCAAACACTGGGAGGTAGCTTATTTAATCAGGTTCCCAGCCAGGATGCTCTTAACGCCAAAGACACCTTAAAGGTCAAAACCACTCCGAGGTCTCAGAAAACACACAGCGGGTCTAAGCGACTGAGCACGACATGGTTGAAGGAGAAAGCCTCCCGCAACAGGTAGGTTTATAACAGAGGAATCGGATCATCAGCCTGCAGATCGACTCCACAAATGGAAATCAGTCCTAGGCAGATAGGTACAGGCACTCTGGGAGAAGGACCCGGTTCAGCCTCCGCATTTGAAGCACTGCGCAGTTGCCTGGTGCCTCGGGAGCAGAAAATACCTATCCATGCGCACCCACAACCCAATTCTGCTCACGTAAAGATACAGCAGAAGCCTGCTCCAGTCCACCCGCCCGCCAGAGCTGGAGCTGGCGGCTCTGGATGTGGCACCTCCGGCTGATCCATTACAGCAGGAACCAAATTCACCATCACAAGGGTGGCACACCAGCTGTGGTTGGCAGCAACTGGAAGACTGTCTACTCACGTAAAGAAAATGTTAAAAGCCTCTTAGTCTAAGTGCTATTTGTACAGCACCTAATAAATACATCATGAGCATTTAATCACGAACGCAGATATGGCCATTTCCTTCTTGCAGAGGTATTAAAAGCCAATTGTTCTCTCTCGACGAGGTAAAATTAGCTCAGTTTCCTTCATCCAGAGAAAAGGGGCAAAAAAAAAAAAGGAAAGCCACCTTGATGTCCAAGGCAGAAGACAGCCGGGAGGGCAGGCTCCCCCGACAGCGATGCTCCGGGCCGGGCCAGCCGCCGGGGAAGGAGACCCAAGGACGAGGCGCCCTCGCCAAGGTCGGCCCTCCCCGGGCTCCATCCCGGGGCCGGGGTCCGACCCTGCCTCATCCCCGGACCCACCTGAAGTCACACCTCCGTGGTGCGGAGCCCCACGCACCCCATCGGGGCCCCGCAGGGCACCTGGGGAGAGCGGGGGGGGGGACCGAGGAAACCCCTCACCCCCTCCCACCCCTCACCCCGCGGGGACTCGTCGCGCCGGTCCTGGCGCCAGCCCCCCTCGCCCAAAAAAAAAAAAAAGGAAAGCCACCTGGATGTCCAAGGCAGAGGACAGCCGGGAGGGCAGGCTCCCCCGACAGCGATGCTCCGGGCCGGGCCAGCCGCCGGGGAAGGAGACCCAAGGACGAGGCGCCCTCGCCAAGGTCGGCCCTCCCCGGGCTCCATCCCGGGGCCGGGGTCCGACCCTGCCTCATCCCCGGACCCACCTGAAGTCACACCTCCGTGGTGCGGAGCCCCACGCACCCCATCGGGGCCCCGCAGGGCACCTGGGGAGAGCGGGGGGGGGGACCGAGGAAACCCCTCCCCCCCTCCCACCCCTCACCCCGCGGGGACTCGTCGCGCCGGTCCTGGCGCCAGCCCCCCTCGCCCGCCCCGGGCCGTCCTCGCCGGGGGCTGCAGCCCCGCTGCAATGGGCGGAAGGCGGGGCGCCCGGGGCCGTGCTGCAGTGCCCGCCGCATCGCCACCACCACCGCCCCCCGGCCCGGCCCCGCCGCCCCCGGCCCAGCACTCACACCAGCTGCCCCCGGTGCGACCCAGCAGCTCCTTCTTCTCCGAGTTCCAGATGAATTTCTTCCAATTGCCGTCACCGTCCTTGGCCTTCCCGCGGGCCATGGCGAACGGGGGGTTGGGGCGGGCGAGCGGCGAGGAGCGGACTAGCCCTGGGCGGGCGGCGCCGGCAGGCCCCGGCCGAGCTCCGTGTGCCGCCGCACCGGTAAGGTCTAGGTGCGCCCGCCCACGCTGCGGGGCAAGGCGGCGGGGGGAGTGTGCGGGCTGGAAGGGAGCGGCGGCGAGGGGGAGCGGTGCGGAGCACACGGGGCACGGAACGACCGCGCTCCCCGCCTGCCGCGCCCCTTCATATACACCACGGCTCCGCCCCCACGGGCGCCTCCGCCAATGGGCACCGCCGGAGAGCTGGAGGGGCGGGGCCCCGGGTGGGGTGCTGACGGGCGGGGGGCGCGTGGAGCGGCGGGGCTGCGGCAGACGGCCCGGGGCGGGCTGCGGCGGGCGCGGGGCGGGACACGCGGGCACACCTGCACGCGCGGGCCCGCGCACGCGCGGTACCGCAGACACCCTCCCCGCCCCCCCCCACGCGGCTCCGCAGCGGAGGGTGGCCGGGCGCGGGTCACGCGGGGGGCGGGGGTGCGGGGGTGTTTAAGGCAAAGCGGCGGTGCCTCCAGCTCGGGGGACTCGCCCTGGGCCGTGTCCCCCCCCCCCCCCCGGGCCTCACCGGTCCCGCGCTTGGAGGAAAACGGGAGTGGGGGGGGAAGGGAAAACGGTATTTGAGGCGTGAAGGTGTTTAATCGTTAATCTGGGCTGTGATGGCAGGTAATTAACCTGCTGCGATCCCACAGTACCACCTGAAACCACATGGATTTACCTCCAAATTTCCTATGGAGTTGCAATATTGCGTTATCCCACATATTTTCTCCACCCTTTCTCACCCTGATATGTTACTTCAACTTTTAACTCCTCCATCCTCCTTTTTTTTTTCTTTTCTTTCTTTTTTTCCCGGGATCAACACATAGATAAGATGGGCCTTTCCTTGGTGCCGCCCACCAGGTGCGTGTTCTGGAGGTCACCTGCGAGAATGGCCTGGCCTGAAATGGAGGAGCACTCGACCCACCTCAGCACGCTCCTCTTGGATCTCGAGAAGGCTGTAGTCCAGCCACCATTGTTTCCCACCCTCCTGGAGCCATTAAGCTCGCTGTCAGGGGTTTGGTTGTGATGTGGCACTCCTCTCCAAGTGATCCACGGCCACCAGCCCCTGAAGCAGCCACCAAAGAGACGTGCTTTTTTAGGCCATCGACCCTTTTTAGCCCATCCAGACCCTTCTAGAACCACGCTGGGTCCACACAGGCCAGAAACCCTCAAGGTCACACCACCATTAGCAGCAGCGACTGAGCAGGTCCTCCTTAGCTGTAAGCTTCTCAAAGCCTTGTGGGTTAGAAAGAGGATGGGTGTCGCGCAAGAGGCGTGGAGAGCTCGTGTGCCTGGAAGGCTGTGTGTGTTTAATTGGGAGTGTCTGGCTTGCTGAAGGCTCCACAATCATCCTGCACCATCAAAGGGAGCCGGGTGTCCCCACAGGGTTTGTCATGCTTAGAGAGAACCAGCACTCAGTGGCATTTGTGTGATGGGAAAGGGCTGATCAGCAAGAGGCGAAGAGGATAAATGGCATCTCTCTCTTCTCCTCAGTGTCTGGTCAGAGCTGGTCTTTTAAAGAGACCTGCTGATGGTGGGCGATAACAAAAGCAAACACAGACAGCAGTATCTGATACCCAGCTGAACATCATCTGCCCTGCAGGGCGGACAGTATCGGTTACAAGGTAAGGTGGTTGTGATTGCAATCAAGCCAATAAGTAGACGAGCACTGCTGGAGGAAAAAAACACCCATTTTTAGCTCCTAGACCTCCGTGTAGTGACCGCTGTGGCCAAATAGGCAGTTTCTCCTGCTGCTGGGCCACCGGGTCTGCACTGGCCACTGGGGAACTAGACCAACTCTCCTTCTATTTATGCAATGTATGGCCCAGGTGTGCTCCCCTAGAAAGGGCAGCAGGTTGGGAATTACATGTGGGTGCAATGGGGTGAATTACATGTGCACACCCGTGCAATGGAGTCTACTCACCGGGCAGGCTACCTTGTGGATGCGGTGCCCTGGGCCAGGGCTCAGCTCATCTGGTCTGCAGAGGAAAAGAGCACACAGGTTAGTGCAGGGCACACACACCAGCAGCGGTTGGTGCAGACCTCCCCTCCTCGCCGTACTGCCCAAGCCAAAATTAAACAGGCACGGGATATGGCCGCAGGTTCACGGTACCATTCCAATCAGGGAAGTTTTGAAAGGGAGTCCACTCTCCCACAGCATTATGTCCTAAGATCAGGGAGAATGAGTTTGGAGAAAGTGGCTAGAGAACATCTGAATAATCGTGTCACGATTAGACAGTAAATGGCCACCCAGAAACATACTCTTCCTCTGAGCATGTTCTCACTGTCACTACAGGCTCTAATGGTGCTGGTGGAAGCTGAGCTGCAGGAGCTCCTGGCTTCATCGGTGTTTGTTTAAGGATCACCAGGAAACTCTCTCCTCTTCCTGCAAGCTTCTGAATTTCTGTATAAATACACAGAGAAGTCCTGTTGGGTTGGCCGTGGCCAGCGATAGCAAATCCCCATGACTGCACAGGCTGGGGCGTGCAGGATCTGGAACGGAGAAAAGGCCCTCCATGAAGGTTGCACGCTGTTCCTGCAAGCTCTTCTACAGACCTGAAGCCTCAGGTCTGTACTCAGGACAGGCACGCTCAGGACACACGCTTTACTTGGCATTGGTCAATTATCCTCTCAGAATCAGCAGAACTCACAGGCAACAGGGTGCCAAATTTTATTCAAATTTATGTTTGTTTGGCTGCTCAGATATCAATCAGGCCGTCTCTAAGGCCACCACTATATGATCTGATTTTTTAAGGTGATAAGGGCCTGAGGCAACATTTGAAACTGCCAAGAACAAAATGTGCAAAGCTATCCATGTCCAGCAGATTAGCTGCAGGAGGAAGGACAGCACTGGGGAAAGGAACCTGGGAAGGAACAACCTGCAAGATGGAAGCTATTTAAGGTTTATCTCGCCGCCCTGAGGAGTTAGCACGTGAAGAGCACTCTGATTTTCTCCAGTGGGTTTGGGCATAGCCACCAGTGAGATCCCAGCTTCCTTTGGCTCTCCTGCCTTGCAGGACTGGAAGAAAGCCCCTAGGGCAAGGAGAGGTGTCTCGCTGCAGGACAAGAGGGTGGACAAGTACTTTTGATGTAGCGGTGAAAGAGAAGGGCCTGGCGCAGAGCAAAGCAAAGCGAGCGTTTGTCCAGCTTGGTGACTATTCTGCCCATGAGTGCCGTTTGTGGGGGAAAATGAGACCATCGGACGCAGGAACTTTGGGTGATGTGTGATGGAGAAACATCTCTGAAGACGAGTGCAGATGATGCTGCGACGTGCAGCAGAGGAAGGGGAGAGGCATGCCAGGGAGCGGGCGGGGGGGCTGGACTCTCACAGGCCGCAGGACCGAGTGTTAATTATAAGATGACAGAAGCGTGCGAAATGGCCTCAAGTAGTTACTATTCGTGGGCTGCCACCGCAAACAAATGGGGCTGGGCCTCCTGGAGCTGGCATGCCCAGGGGAGCTGGAAAAGGGCAGCTGCTGAAGAGCTTGGCCCCAAGCCGGCATCACACACAACAGGTGAGAGAGGGAGGAACAGAGCGGGCGGCGAGAGCTGCTGCGGCCCTGCAGGCTGCCGGCACTCGGGCATTTTACACCCCTCTGGGAGCGTGCAAAGCGCCTCGAAGGGGAGAGGGGTGATCCCCAGGAGCTGCCCTCAGTGTCCCCGCGAGGCAAGTGGCAGCCTGTGGTCCCCACGCCGGCTTCCTAGAGCCTACCTTTAGGGCTGTCCTCCAATGTTCTGCCTGGGGGATTCAGGAGAAGCGGAGCCCCCGCTCAGGGGCTGCTGCACATTACACTGTCCCAAGCAGGGTCTGTAGTCCCCTACAGCACGGTATGACAAAAGTAGCTTTCAAGTTTTCCTCCTCCCCTCCTTGTCCCCCCACCTCCCCCTTCCAAGATGTAGGGATTAGGCTTATAGACATAGGTGGTTGATCCTCTGAGCACAATGGCTGCATTCAAACAGGTTAATTGCATATAGCTATGCAAATTGAGGTAAATAAGTTAAAGAAATCATCAACTTGTAGGTACTCAGAAGGTAAATACATATAGGAATAACCTCCCCCCCAAATCCAGCCATAAGGCCAGTATTCTTTTCTTTAATATCAGTTTGATAGTTGTGTAATATAACTTGTGGAGGTGCCTGCACAGCTCAGCTTTGGCAAAACAACGTGCAAAACAACAGCTGTTTAGATAGATAAGTGACTGTAAACAACATTTGTGGATGGAAAACCCAAAAGCGTCTGAGAGGGCATTTGCCCCAAAGTGGTCTTGCTGGAGAGGGAAACAACCATCAGTTCTCAACTGATCACGCTAAGGAGGATGGCAGGCATCAGCTGGATTAAACAGCAACAGGGAACCACAAAGACAATTTTGAAACAAAGAACAGTTTGGTCTGAAAAGCTGCATAAAGAAGCGTAACAATCTGTAACAGAGCAGGGAGGGGCCTCAGCCTGGGCCCAGAGCAGCAGTCAAAACCCAGCCTGGCACACCACAACCTCTGCCAAGACCAGACGCAGCAGCTTCCCCATCCATGAGGCGCCGTCAGCGGCTGGCACCCAGCGCGTGGCCTGACCCTGTGGGGTGCAGCACGTAGGGACCCACGCTTTGGGTGGGTGCAGGTGACCTGCTGGGGTGCATTCCCACCACAGGGTGCCTTTGCTGATGATAGGGAGCAGCGTGGTCACCCCTAGAGCTAGAGTGGCCACAACCCCAGTGGGAGCAGGGTGTAAACAGGGGGGACCCCCGCCCCCTGAAGTGACCCCCTTGCCAGTGAGAAAGGGGTGAGTGCCTCCGTACGTGGGGTGAGAACTGATGGGCATTAATCACAGAAGTGTGTTTCGGAACTTGCAGGAATTTATTAGTCTTTCCTAAGTGTCTAACGTTGTGGTTGAACTGCTGTATTGCTGACATAGATCCTGAATGTATAGTTCACTGCTTGTCAGTTAATTACATGTCCTTAATAAATCAATAAAGCATTTCAATCCTGATTTGGTTTAACCTACGTGAGCTGAGCCGTTTTTCCCTGCAACAACGACCAATGGATATAAGGTTTTGACCAGTTCTGGCAGAAGGCCTACATGCTCAGTGATTGAGGAAAGAATCGCTTCATGTTGAACTGGAGACTAGGTGCAGGACAAGGGATCATTTCTGGGGTGGACTGGCTGGCAAGTGGAGACAGAAAAGGGGGATGTGATAGAGACACCATGCTGTGTGCCTGATGTTTGATAACTGGGATAAATACTTCTGGTGGACGGTAGAAAGTTCCTCTGGCTAAGCACAGCCACCAGAAGTTAAACTTGCCAGCTGTTTCTGATGTCCATCACCACTGTTCTGATGGAGGCAGAGGCAACTTGTGAAGGCAGCAGAAGTCAAACCATATTGTCAGAATTTCTCTTTTTGGCTGATGCAGGAAGAATGACTCTCATCTACTCACTGAAAATAATATGAAAATACTTTCTTGCACAAAATCCACCCTGTTTTCCTTGGCACATGTGGAAGTGACCGCCACACAGGGAAGAAGCATTACCCAGGAACTAGCGATGAAGCTGGCAAGAAGAACACACGTTTTGTGACAACGGGCACCTGGAGCCCTTACTGGAGTGGCAGCCAGCTTCCTGGTACACAGCCACCGAGCTCAGGCAGCTACATGAGCTCCTGATGCAGCAGCTGCAAGTCTGGGGGACTGATTTGGCTTCACCCCTGCTGGTCCAAACAAAATGGTCCCCAGTCAGCTCCTGCTGGATATAGCAGCATTATGCACCATTAAAACATTAGTTTTCTATCTTGACAACAAGATCACAAGGCTTCACCCTCCACTCGCTCCCAACTATGGTTCCTAAGGGGATTCTGATGGCAGGTTGTATTTGGGCACTAGCCTGCTCAGCTGCCCTGGTTAGAGCTCTGCCATCTCCAGGGCCAGCCAGTCCGGGACATCCAGCACGAAATCAAGAACGAGAACTAAATAAACTCCAAAACTATTTTGAGGCCTGCTCTAATAGAGTTTAAAAAGAAAAACAAAATCAGAGTGGAAAAACATTTCTATCTTTAGCCATCAGGAGCAAGGCTTATCTAAGCAGCACCACACAGGAGCTGGCAATGGGAATCCTAAGTTAGGGTTCGACTTGTTCCTAAACATCTTCTTTTAATTGTTCAGTCAGGGCCATAGTGGGATGCTACATGATTTACCGTGCCTGCCAGAGGCCTTTCTTCTTCACCTCATGGGAGGTCCTTTCCCCAAAAACAACTCACAGATGCCTGTGATAATTTTAAAGATAACTCCAGCATTGTCCACACTACAAGTTCTTACCAATTTAAGGTAGATGACTCTGTAAACTGGGAAGCCTGCTGTCCAGTCTGGGCTTCTTGGAGGTCTTTGCTTTGATTTGGATTGTTTAGTTCCACCGCAAAATCCTTTGATGACCAACACTGCACCCTCACCTGCAACACAGTAACACAATACATGTTAAAATCAAACACATTTTGACTGGAAAATCTCTCTCCAGTCCTCAACAACCAGTTAATGTGACAAAAGACATCAGGCAGCCGTGATGGGAACTGTCTGTCTTCATTCTCCTGATGTAAATTCAGTGCTGTGGTAACCATGCTGGAGGCTGAAATTCCCTTTTCTCTTTTAACCAGTCCTGTGCGGACCGCAGCATGTCACAGAGCCTGAGAGGCATTTGCATACAGGCCAAAGGAGGCAGACATATCTAAAGAGAGTTTGAAAAGCACTGAAGTCTTTCTCATTATAACCAGTAGGAGTTAAGGACCTGACCTGTGTGGATGATTTGAAAAGCTGGATAGGCCTCAGTTTGTATTTTTAGATGCTTGTGTACCTTGGGAAATCTGCTTTGACTTTCCACAGTTCAGCCTTTCTGCTCAGATAGCCAGGATACATTTGACATGGACATTTGCACCAGACCTACATCAAAGCGGATCCATTCTGTAAAGGCATGATGGGAGCTGAGCATTCATATCACTGGTGTCTGCAGATCCATCAGGTGTTTCTCAGAAACTGTTGCTTCTGGCTGAATAAGACACCACAAGTTACGGGCGGGGGGAAGGGAACACCATAGGCAAACCACACCATCACATCTGGTCTGATGATGGGACAGGTAGAGGAAGACAGCGCATGGGTGATGCTGCTATTATTTACATAAGGCGATACCTTTGTTTTTCATTTATCAGCTGAGTAACACAAACTCTTGGAGGATATAATCATGACAAGACCCCCTCAAGTCAGCTAGAGTTTTGAGTTGCACTTTTTTTTTTTCTCATGGGAAACGTCCCCAAAATACCAACATGCAAATCTGTCCTTCTGCGTGTTAAAAGTATTCCCCAGGCAACCAGGATCGGGAACTGAACAAAAATTCCCTTTTCTCCCCAACCATATCTCCTTTTGAAAAACTGGTCGCTACTTGGTAATCAAAGATTAGCTACGATCACCCGATGTTCAAAGAAATTCCCAAATGGACACTCAATACCAAAATGACCTTAGCCTTAGTTTTATTAAAAGCTGGTTTTGTCAATTGTAAGAACGTAAGACTGGCTACACCTGGAACGCACCAAAGGTCCATTTAATCCAGTATGTCTTCTCCAGTTCTGGTCAGTAGCAAATATTTGGAAAGAGAGCCTAAGAACAGGGCAAGTACAGAGTGACCAATGTGACCTCCCAGGTGCCAGCAGCCTGCCACCTTGGGATTTCCCAAGCCAGGGAGTACACTGACAACTAAGTAAACTGGGTGTAGTCCCAAACCTAATCTGCGGCTCACTTTGGAGAAGCAGTTCCTATCTGGCACGTTACACCTCACCCTCCAGTTTGGTGGCGTGACTGCAGCCTCCGCAAGTTCACCTGAGTGAGCTTTAGAGGCCACGAACTGCACAGAGGTGAGGACAGTCTCAGTGCCAAACACGTGAACAGCAAGTAGCCTGCACTAGGCTTTGCACTGATACTTTTCATCATGGTTCAGCAAGAGGGTTTAAAGCTGTTTCTGGTCTTGCCATGTAAGTCACCATCAGCCTCTGGGGGCCCACAGATCAGCCTTCCCGTGGGGCGTCCAGTAACGAGCGGACCATAGACTTCACTGGAGGCATGCTAGCATGTCTGATGAGTGAGGTACCTAGCTATGTGTTCATCTTACCATCACGGTGGTATTTGAGCAGTTACCCACACATCAGCACCTCCAAACAACATAGTAGTCTATAACACATGAGTATACAAAGAGCTCTGAATCTTCAGCTCTGAGCTCCTTCTTTAGATGCAGCCTGCTACCTCATGGGAATTGCCTCTCATTTTTCCATCTAGATGACCGACTGAGGTGGCCTGCATGTCACCTGTGGTGACCCACTGACTCATAGTCCTTCCTTGCTGCACTGTGAGAAAAAGCTTGCCACATGGAAAGACATGCTCTGCTAGACACATATTAATTTGTAAGTGCTAATTAATAGAATAATGGGTTGGTTAGGAAAGCCCCTGGTCTATATTGTATTCAAAATGCCCTCTGGAAAGAGGCTGGTGCGATTAGTAAGATGGCTGCTCTGTTAGATCTGATACCTTTGTAAGAGAATCTCTCCCAGCATTACTGATGAGACAGAATTTAACAATGAAGATGTATATTTTATTCTCCAGAAGAACACTTTTGAGCTGGCAAACGTTTGGTCATTGGGATGGTGATCAGTGTGCTTTATTCCTGTGACAAGCAGTGGGATGAATATCCTGTTATAAATGGCAAGCAAATAGTTTACTCGAAGGACTTTAAATGTCATCAGTCTCTTAGAAAATGCATGTCAGTAGGTCCCATGACTCTGAAAGCAGCGTGGCTGTTTAATATAACTTTTGCCACCACCTAGGCCCACCGGGTGCCTACGTCCGAGAAGAGCTATCTTTACACTGACAGCCTTCTTCCAGGTCAGGGAGGCTCTGGCCCGCCTCTGAACTGAAATTCTGAAGTACTGGACAGATACTGCTGTTTCAGTTCCTCCACGCTTATCTCAGGGATAAGGTTTCCAGGAATCTGCTGCCATTGAGTTCCTACAAGGAAATGGCACAGGGAAGTCACCCCCATCAGGTGCTCACAAACAGGCCAGCAAATCCCTCTCTCCCCTCTCGGCTTCAAAGCACATTAAAGATATAACATTGTCACGGCCCCATTTCTGGCAGGTAGGTACGTGTGGTACCTGGGAAGCTGGTGGCAGAAGACAGAGCGGAACCAGTGTTTTGCCACCTTGGATACGGCTTCATGCAGGTCATGGTGCTAGCTAGCAGGCACTCAGGGAGAGGGGTGCAGCTGGAAGCCTCACCACGGCAGCTGCCCAAAGCCAGTGTCTGCTGGACTCATGAGAGAGAGCTGTGCACATCTTTCCTCATGCCTCCCACAGAGCAAAGTGCTTTCTAGGTATTAATGAAACGAGTCCAGCAGCATCGCTTTTCTACGGTAGGAAGGTCCCCTTCTCGCCAGTGGGAGAAACTGTGGGTCTGCCTACATGGACGTGCTCTGGAAACCTGATTTGAATTAAGTTTGCAAGCTAATAAAACTTTTAAAAACTTAATTAAATCACACTAAAGCCCCATGCGGGCATTTTAACTTAAAGGTATGTTTATTCTCAGCAGTATACTTCACCTCCAAAGCAAATTGAAGAACACTTAATTTAGCCCACCCTAATTCTTACTAAAGGTGTCCACTTTGATGCAGTTGATTTACCTATTTGAAATTCATGCCTTTAGTTCAATTAGATGACTTTACTCATTAATTTTCCTTTGTAAAGAAGCCCTTCAAGAGAGAGAAGGGACTTGTTAGGATTACCCAAAGGAAGTGCCAACAGCCAAAGAGGGGGAACCCAGGCATACACAAGTATTCAGGGAAGCAGCTTTTCTCTCCACTACCTTTCTGTCACTGATGGAAATGTTTTCTGTTGGATCGAGAACAATTGCACTCTTCCTCTACCCCCATCACATCAGGCTTTGCAACAGACCTAAACAGCAGAAGCAAGACAAGAAGAGAGAGCTAGCAGGTGTCTTGTCTGCCTGCAAGCAACACTGCCTAGAAAATTCATGAAAATGCCACAACCCTTCGAGACTGCAAAGTCTGGGGATCATTTATTCTGCCCTTCCGGCACAACACAGACAGGATAATTTCATTCCATTACTTCTTCATTCAGCCTGATAGCTTATCTTTGACTGAAGCATAAAGTCAGGTATTTGCTGCAGTCAAATTGTTCCAGAAATTTTTTTGGATGTGTGTTTTCCATTAAAACCGATTTTCCTTTTAGTAAACTGCTTTTTTATAATCTTTTCCCCTCTGACAGATATGCCTTTCTGTGCAAATTTATAGTCATTGCTTTCTTGGGGATGCAGCTTTGGTCTACATCAGCTCATTAAAAAAAGAAAAAAGAGAAGAAACCCCCATTCCTTTCCAGGGGTCTGAAATTATTAAGCAGCATGAATGCAAATTTCTCCTAACCCCAAATACACCTCTTATTGTCACTGCTATATCTAGGTTCTTGAGGACGTGCAGTGGCTCTGTTTGTCTACTCTACCATGTCAGCAATGAAGCTGGAGCAGGAACACCAAAGCCTGCGAGCTTTACCGAGTGGTCCCAGCCTCAGGCACTCCACAGGAGCCAAAAGGAGAACCTGCTGGGCAGCTTCAAGGCAGTTACACGAGCCATGAATTTAGCCTCTTCTCTTCCCCCACCCCAACGGCAGTGTGAGATTGGGCAGGGCAGAGAGATTCAAATACACATTGGGATAAAGCATAAAAACGAGCAAGACAGAAAAATGGAGAATAGCCGCTATAGGGCAGATCATTCCCTAACAAATATTTGAGTCTTACTGGACTAGACTTACCATCCTGCACTGTCATAGCATTCTGGAATCATCAGTAACACTCAGAATATATATGGTTTCCAGTGCTGCATCTTAACACGACACTAAGGACAAGAAGCACTATTTCTTACCTTTTCCTGAGGCAGAAATGGAGAGAGGTGGAAAAGTCATTTGACCTTGGTCACACTAGACAGATGTTTACTAGAGAACTGTGTGCAACACCCAGAAGTCAAATGACAGTCATAGCAAGGTTGGCACCCTGATCCATAGATCCAAAGCTCATGGGCTCCACAGCAGAGCTGGGCACAGTCATTACGTAGAGATCTTGTGGACATGATCTCCTCTAGCAACATCCATAGATATCCACCCGTCCCACTCTCTCTATACCAAGATCCCTTGGGCCCAGACCTTTCCTCAGGCTGCCAGTTCTCTATCTGGAAAACTACAGCTCTCTGACAAGCCCTGTAGAGACAATGTTGGAGTCATCATTAACCTGTCAGAGACTTATGCCCAGACCTTTATTATACCCTTACATGAAGCTGAATAAAACAGCATATTCAACTGAGCCTATGACAAATGCATTACGTTTGCCTAATTTTCTCATTTGCCACAGG